TTAGGGCGCTGTCATAGCATGATTTTGCTTCATTCAACTGTCCCTGATGACGTAATTCCGTGCCAAGTGTGAAGATTTCTGCACCCAGAGATGGACAGCCCTTACCATAACCGGTCGTTAGGGCGCTGTCATAGCATGATTTTGCTTCATTCAACTGTCCCTGGTGATGCAGTGCTGTGCCAAGTTTGAAGATAACTTCACCAACAGATGGACAGTCCTTTCCATACCCAGTCATTAGCGCGCTGTCATAGCATGATTTTGCTACTTTCAACTGTCCCTGGTGATGCAGCGCTTTGCCAAGTTTGAAGATAACTTCACCCACAGATGGACAGTCCTTTCCATACCCAGTCGTTAGGGCGTTTACATAGGCGCTAACGACTGTTTATGGTAAGGATTATGTTGAAGCCAAAACAGCCTTTGAACAGTGTTTAGCTACAGGATATGGTGGCAAGCACCCTGACGTTTTTATAGTCCTGGGTGATTCTCTTTATAATATGGCAAGGTATGATGAAGCTGAAATATATTATAAAGCTGTCTTGGCTGCTGGATACACCAGTGAGGACTGCCCAACCTTGGATACGTCATTCTTTAACCTTGGAAAAGCATTCTATAAATTGGGAGATTATCATAAAGCTCAATCGTGCTACAAAAGTGTTTTAGCTGCTGGGTGCAATGGTGAAGATTTGCATTCTTTTTGTACGGCATTCTTCGACCTTGGTAAGAGATTCTGTAATCTGATACAATATAATGAAGCCAGAATGTGTTTTGAAAGTGTATTAAAGGTTTATAGAGCTTTGAATGAAAACGATAAGCGTATTTGCCTCACACTCCTAAACCTTGCATATAGTCTCAAGGTCTTGGGGAGCTACGAGGCAGCAGTCCCATACTATGAAGAACTTCTTTCCATTGCAAAGATCCTATTTGGTAGGAAAAGTCCAATAGTTGCCGATCTGTACATCTTGCTTGGCGAAACCTTAGAGAAACTAGGAAGACACGACGAGGTACGGAAATGTTCCAAGAAAAGAAAAGCTATTTTGTCATTGTCAGGGAGAATTCGCAGACTGCTGTCCTCCGAGCAACCGCATAGTACCTTCAATGACATAGAGACGGGAATGATGGTCCTGAAGACGAGGACCAGCGTTCACTAACTGACGATTATCGTAATGATACAGAGAACATCGAGGTCTTCATTGCTTATTCTTGCGATGACAGTCATTACAAATTGCAACTCATTAGTCAAGGGGATAGATTAGGGTGCATTGCTTTTTTTTTATTTCAAAAGCCGGTTTGGCTTTATCTCTTTCACTTTCTAAATGGTTCTGTGTAAAGGTCGGTTCAGTGGAGATTTTTTGGTAGAAAAATGAAGTAAAAGGACATGAATGGCTTTATGTAGACTTGCATTTTGATGCTATTGGTGCGCACTTTCATAGCAAACTTTCGTCTAAAAATTCTTGATTAAAGTAAGCTGTCATCGGTAGATTTTATTTCTACAGTATGCATGTTAACGTTAATTTGAAAATTTTGCAATTTCATGATTGTTTACCTCAAAGACTAAAACGGAGTAATATACAAGAAAAGTAAAACTACGCAAAAAAATATGTCACAAGCAGTTATGTTAAGTTGATAAGAGATAAATGCCAAGATAAATAGCAAAAAAGTTAAGGCGGGGTATCGAAATTGAAAACCGGATTATTCTTCAGAACCACACCTTGATATCTAGTGATTTGAGAATTACTTCAGACCGAGTTCTTCTCATGTGGAATCAGACCCTAAAACGGACGACGGAGGTCACCACTCCCTTTTAAAAGCGAGTACTCCTTGGGGAACCGGCTTTTTTCGGAAATTATATCATTATGCCAGTTTTAAAATCGTTGATAACAAACATTTATTGTATGACAGAATGTGGAAGTGATTCAGTGAAGTTGTGCTTTCAAATAACATTTGACAATATCTCAAGTGCAATGTGAATGGTTATCCTTCGCTGATCAAAGATAGGAAAAGAAAGACAACTAGTGTGGTTGTTACATGGGATTATGTTCAGAAAATATGTGTAGCTTAGTTTGGAAGTATAATTTCAAAAATGGAATCTACGCTAGTCAGCTTGTTACTTTTCAATATAAGAGTTGGTTACTATAAAAAAAATCAAAAATCAAGTGGAGTCAATTGTAAACACACCCAAATATATATATAATTTGATTGTATCGTATTGTAGACAGTCAGTACACAAAGGTGAGATTTTTTCATCACATATCAGGTGAAAAACAGTTTAATACACCGTGCGTGGGCTTCCTGTGCTTAACTCGGATATAAGCGTTACCAAGAGATGAGATTTTTTGTACAATATGTGCACTCGTGGATTGAAAATTAAAAGTGACAGAAAATGACGCAATAGTTCCCTGCCGAATTTGACGTAGTCTCCTCGCACCCGTTACGAGGCTGTGAGTAACGGCTGCGAAAGGTGACTAAATTTGAGGGCATATATTTTGCCTACAACCCTAGCATGCAATATGCCTTACAACAGGGTTGTTCAAAGCCCGATTAGCGTTAATCCAAGGTTATTTAACTCCATGGGTTTTCTAAGAGTTAACTTAGGATTAGCGCTAATC